CAGACACACAGAACCATAGACAGAGACAGAACCAGAACCAGAATCAGAACTGGAGACAGAGACAGAGTCAGAACCAAAACCAGAACCAGAACCAGAGACAGAACCAGAGCCAGAGACAGAGACAGAGACAGAGAGAACCAGAACCAGAACAGAACCAGGCGGCCCACGGCTGCAGCTCTCCTACCTGAGCAGGTGAGTCCAGCAGCTCTTCCAGCTGAGCAGCTGCCTCCGGCTGAGCTTTTACAGTCCCGTAGAGCAGACTCATGGCCTCCACACTGGAACTCTCTGCTCCACATTGGAGTCTCCACCCCCACAGAGAGTGCCCCCTGGAGGCCAGAAGGAGGCCCACAGCCCAGCTGCCTGCAGACCACCTCTGCATCCTGCTGGTCAAAGGCAGCTTCACACACTGAGGACCAGGTCTGCTCAGACTGGTTCTTCACCTCCAGCCTGCCTGAACACAGACTGCTTCCAGCCACCAGCCGCACAGACTCTGGAAAATGGGGGGGGTGGGGGGGGGGGGTTAACACAGTATAACTCAAATGAGCATGTTAAAGCATCCAGACAGACACCATGTAAGATAATTGGACCAGAGCTGAGATACTCCATTCAACCCCTAGGAGAAGGTCCAGACATGTTTCAGCCATCAGTTACAGAAATGGAACAGATTATGTGTCCAGTGTGGTATCTCTGTTCTAGCCGAATGTTAAAAGCTCTTCTAGTATTTTGCTCTCAAGCTGAGCTAAGAGCGGAGCTTGAGCTGAGGGTTTAACCCTCTTTTTGGGAGTTGCTCTTTGGCCTTTTTCCCTTCAGCTACAGAAATGGAAGAGATGATGTGTCTTTGTGACAGGCCCCTGCTAAAAAAGAGCCTAAAGATCCACTTTAAACTACTGCTCTGATAAGATGGCAACAACACTGGTTCATCCCTTGAGTTAGGGGCCTTTTTCTGCCTGAATGACTCAGAGTTCAGATGACGAACACAGAAAAAACACATTCCTCTGAAAACGCTGAAATTGAGAGAAGAAGCAGAGAAATTCTGAAGCTGCAGAGCTGCTGCTCAGAGAAACTTTGGTTTCAGGAGGCTAATCAGCAGTTTCTTATAGAATTTGAAACATCTGGACAGACATGCTGCTTCTTTTTCATTATTTATTTTTGACCTTCTGCTGAAAACTGTCAGCTGGTGATGGAGAACCTACCAAAGCACCTGCTACACGTTTCAGTTTCCATGTTACGGAGGCTCTCTGCCGAACTGAAACCAGTTGCATTGGCCAATCTGAGGTGATCCTGGCCCGTGGTCATATCTGGAAAACAAGGAGTTCAGTTTGTGTTTTCAAAACAGGAAAAAAGCTCCAAACTCAGCTGATAAAACCTGTTCCTGTATTTTTCAGCTTTGGTCCAGTTCAGAGAGGAACCACTGAGCAGGTGAGGCCACTTTCCTTTTACTGAAATAACTCCCAGAGAACTCCCTCCCAGTCCAAAGTTACCTATTAACAGGACATCGATGTCGGAGTCCCTCAGGTGCTGTAAGGGGAACTCAATGTCATCCTCAGAGTGTCCGCTGGTAAGGGCCAACGCTCTCTTTTTGGCGCAAGGTCGTGCCCCTGCAGTGGGTTTGAACTCAGAGCGGAGGACGTGCATCAATGCAGCTCCTGAAGGCAAGGAGCAGAACCACACATCAGGGTTTCTGCAGAAGCTATTTTTGTATTTACATTGTGGGTGAAGCTAAAACCCATGAGCAAGCTGCTATGAAATATGTGTGTTTTGTTAACCATCTGTGTCTTCCAGGGTCAGCCCTGCAACAACCGCCTAACTGCCAGTAAATACCTTATAAGGGCATAACAGAAAATGACCTTGGGTGTCCACCACCTTTATATCCCATAATATGTGCACTGCTTAGCAACTATCAGTTTAATAAAAATCAACTGCTTGAGGAATTTGGTGTGAGTTTCCATGAGTGGCGACGAGGAGCAGCTCGTCTCCACTCGGTCTCTCCCCTCCTCTGCAGACGAGTAAAACTTAACCTCTGTGTCAAGCCTTTTATTCTGATGCCTCTTCCTGGGTCTGTCGATTAATAACTAAACTTTTGATAGTGAGGAACTAGGAGTCGTATTTAGACCCAACAGTTTCTATCCTCTAAGCTGGTTAGGTTCAGGGTTTCTCTCCTGTAACCTGGTCAGGTTCAGGGTTTCTTTCCTCTAAAGTGGTTAGGTTCAGGGTTTCTCTCCTCTACTGTGGTTAGGTTCAGGGTTTCTCTCCTCTATTGTGGTTAGGTTCAGGGTATCAATCCTCTAACCTGGTTAGGTTCTGGGTTTTTCTCCTCTAACGTAGTTAGGTTTAGGGTTTCTCTCCTCTAATGTGGTTAGGTTCAGGGTATCAATCCTCTAAGCTGGTTAAGTTTTGGGTTTATGTCCACTAACGTGGTTAGGTTCAGGGTTTCTATCCTATAATGTTGTCAAGGATAGGTTCAGGGTTTCTCTGCTGATTGAACAATACTAACAGTTGTCGGACCCATGTGGATAAAAAGCTGATCACCTAGCCTGGGCGGTCCAGGCCTCATTGGCCTCATTCTTTTTACAGCATTGAGCTGAGATCTCAGGCCCATTGATGTGTTCAGGTGCCATATCGTCTTCAGCTCCTGGTCATACTGAATGAGACCTGCAAAACAAGGACACAGCGATCCCCCATCCATGCAGGTACATTCACAGACATGCTGTCAGTATCTGGGGTTAAGCTCTACCGATAATACAAAAAGGCATTTCAGTAACAGGGAAAACGATTACCATAGCGGGGGCGTAGACTAGAGAGAACCCTCATTAAAGAAATCCTAACTTTCGTCATTACTCTGGGCATTCTCCAAGAAGTGTCCACCAGAAAGATGATGTCCTGTTTTTCACTCTGGTTACCTGGAAACAGACGACAGGTGGCCGCTTCAGATGATGATCAGGAACTTTAACCCCCCCCCCTCTTCCCTTTTGGGGCTTGGCTTGGGGTGCCAGTGTTTGGGGAACTTTTGTTTACTGTGTTTATGTCACCCCCTGTAGCAGGATTCACATGCAGCTGTTTTTAGCTTTCTTGCTCTTCTACCTTTACTGAAAACATCTGTAGCTGATTTCTCCTGATGTTTCTGATTCTCTGCTGATTTTCTCCCAATTTCTCTAATTTATACAGATTTTCTCTTATTTGACCTAATTCTTCTAATTTTCTGCTGATTTTACTCCTGATTTCTGCTCATTTTTCTTCTTGTTTCTTGTGATTTCTCCTTATTTCTCCTGGCTTCTGCTGATTTTTGCAGATTTTTCTCCTTATTTTTTTCTGATTTCTGCTGATTCCCATGTGCTAAGAGGTGATGATGTAGAGGCAGTCCTACCTGCAGCTCCCGGCAGCAGCAGCACCAGAAGGAACAGCAGGTGCTCCATCTCCTTTCCGTCTGGCCTCCTCCGCTTTGCTCTGAGTCTTGAATTTCTTCTTTATCTCAGCTGCAAACCGATAAGCAGCCTCTCAAAGGCTGAATCGTCAACGTTCCCCCAGAAGCTGGTTTAGAGGAGGACTAGTCTTTCTGAGACTGGGATGACTGGTGTGACTCATTAATCCTACATTTTTATCCAGATATTTGTTTTTGACATGTAAAGAGTCCAGTCTGGTTCAGATGAGTGACTCCTTCTTGGTTCAGCTCTACTGATTCAGATAAGACTGGACTTTTTTTAATCCAAAGGGGCGGAGCCACGAGCTGCTATCAGCTTCCCGTCAGACACCAGAGAGAAAGCACGAATGCTGATGAGGAGATATAATGAGGGAGGAAACTGAGCATCTGATAAACAGAAGACAGTTTTTTTCTGCCTCAATGATTTAAAGTCCTGACTGTGTTTCTGTATCTTTCTGAAAACCAGCTGGATGCTTCCTGCTCTTTTTAAACTTTGACATAAACCTGTCTGTGATCACATATCAACATCTGAGCCTCTGGTACAAACTAGAGTCCAGACAACTCAGAGTTCTGCTGGTTTTCCTCCAGAATGAGGCTTAATTTCCTGGAAATGAGCTCTGTTCCAGCATCCGGAAATGAAGGAAACTTTGTGCCAAAACCAGTCCACTAAAAGCTGGAACTCAGAGCTGTGGATCATTTTAGAAGGGACCAGGATCAGGATTCTGGTTCAGGATCCTAGTCCTGGTTCTGGACCCTGTATCATTAGCCGCCGCTCATCATCCCAGTTAGCTGCTGCTGGTCTGTGTTATCTGCTGCTCATCCCAGTTAGCCGCCGCTCATCTTTCCAGTTGGCTGCAGCTCGTTCCAGTTAACCGCTGCCCGTCCCAATTAGCTGCTGCTCATCATCCCAGTTAGCCGCTGCTCATCATCCCAGTTAGCTGCTTCTCATCCCAGTTAGGCACTGCTCCTTCCAGTTAGTTGCTGCTCATTATCCCAGTTAGCTGCTGCCTGTCCCTAATTAATGCAGATAACCTTGGAATGTGATAACTAAGTTTGCGTGTGTGGTTGACCTAATGATGTGCGTATATTGTAAGAGAGAGAAGAAGAGAATCTTTGGTTACAGCCAGAGAATTTAACACAAAGGTTTAGTTCTAAAAGGAATAAGACAATCTATATTTGACATAGATCATGTTAAGTTCACAGTTGGGCTGCAGGCGCCGGGGCGTCCATACGCCTTTAGGAGCAGAATCACCATGAATCCACTCAGCTCTGACCCAAACCAGCCTGCTCACACCTCCACATGGCAGGTTTAGCTTCACAGAAAGGGAGGAAAGCAAGCCTCTTTCTTGTGTTTTGGAACACAGAGATGCTTGATGATACATAAACAGGAACCACTGAGCGCATGCAAGAGGCCCCACGCTTCCTGCTGCCCTCCAGATTTCATCTGCTTTCTGAGAAGTTGCTGAATTTCACACACGGCCGATGGTTTCTGCTCTAAGCGTTATCAGGATGGACAGAAGGTCAGACTGAGCTCTGCTCAGAGCAGGTTTCTGAGGCTGCCGCCACTAAACCTGCTCTGGGTTCACTGAATGAGGCCCGAGGCCCGGTTCTTACCCGGACCGAAGCCCGGTTCTGACCCGGACCGGGGCCCAGTTCTGACCCATCCCAGCGCCAGAACTGAAGCCCTGCAGGTTTCTCAGCAGATGATCTAATTGAACTCTTTTTTTGATTGTTTAAATGAAAAACTTAAATAACAAAAAAAAAATACAGTACAAAGCTTGCATGGTATAATATGCAGAAAGTAAAAGCTTACAACACACAGTCAGACGATTAAAGTAAAAATAAAAATTTTCTCCTGGATAATGAAGAAGGGGGGGGGGGCAAAGGGAAACAAAAAATGGTAACATAATGTGAAATATATGCATCTAATACCCACACGTATCTTAACATACCGATGTTCTAGTAAAATAACAAGGTTGAAAACTGTGACTCTCACTAGAAAAGTTCCTGTTTCTGTTTTACACTTCCAGCAGACATTACTATTTATAAAATCTATTCTAAAAAGTCTGCATGGGGTCCAGTAGAACCTATGTAGAATTTTATATTGAATAAATTTACACCTTACTTCTTTGATATATTTACCATTATCGGCCAATATTTGTTCCCAAGTGTCCTTGTCTATATCACAATCAAGGTCTCTTTGCCAGATCAATCTTAAGTTTTCACATGAGCCACTGGTCAAACAAACTGATTTATTGTAAAACACTGAAGCCATATGATTAACTGGCAATTGCAGAAGCGGCAAAATTACATTGTGTTCTTTTGTTGTTAAATTTATTTTCAATATGCAGTGTCTAATCTGCATGTACTTCCAGAAGTCACCCTTTTCTTGCAGATTATACTCCTGTACAAGTTCAGCAAATGATTTAATAATACCCTCACTGGAAGATTCCCCTATCGCCAGAGTCCAAGGAAAAAACGGCCTTCTCCGCTTCGTACGGGTTGTACCAATTCGTCACGCTTCTGTTCGGGTTGTTCGGGGCCCCAGCCACGTTTCAGCACCTCATGGACCGGGTGCTGCGGCCGCATGCTTCATATGCTGCCGCCTACCTGGATGACGTGATCATCTACAGCAACACCTGGGCAGAGCATGTGGGGCAGGTAGCTGCGGTGCTCGAGACCTTGAGGCCAACCCGACAAAGCGTGCGGTTGGACGGAGGGAGGTACGGTATCTGGGGTATCACTTGGGTGGTGGACAGGTGCGTCCACAGGTGGACAAGACGGCGGCAATTGCAGCCTGCCCAAGACCCAAGACAAAAAAAGAGATGCGGCGGTTTTTGGGTCTGGCCAGCTATTACCGGCGGTTTATCCCCAACTTCGCTGAGCTGACCAGCCCCTTGACCGACCTCACCTCACCTGTACAGCTGCTGCACAATTCTGAGAAGTTAATTAACGTCCCTGATACCAGTGTTGTTGCTTTCGTTGCTTGTTTGTTCTTTTGTCTTTCCTGTGTCCTTTTGCAGGAGCTCCTACAGGTTCTCCACTTGGATTGCCCACAAGGAACAGTGTCCTTTTTGCAGACATAGCGGTTGGTTGTATGGTATGTTGTCTTTCTTTCTTCTTCTTTTTCTATTTTTTAGTGGAAAGGAGGATCTCTCTTCTTTCCACTAGTCTTCCCTCCCCCCTGTCCCTCTGTCAGGTTCGGCATTCTTGGACACATGGAAGTTTGGTAACAAAAATGAATAAATAAAGAAGTTTTGGGTAATCAAGGGGGGCTTCTCACTAACAAAGCCTCCCTTGGCAAAGCTATTTTGTTCAGCATAGCACGGTACTCAGATTTCAGTTCTGCTGCCATAATGCTGAACAGGACAATGTAAAAAAAAGTAAAAGAAAAGAGAATTTAACACAAAATATAGTTATAAAAGAAAGTAAAGCAATCAGTAATCTACATAGATCATGTGATCATACAATGCTAAAGTGAGTATTTATAGCCAAATCCTAACACAGCTATTACTTTTGGTATTAAAATCTTTTCAACTTTTTAATTTTTTTAACTTGTTCTGCTTTTTGCCTCTCATTGAAATGAATGGGGAATCCTTCAAATCCTTCCAAAACTTTGACCTACTTCAGCCCTAACTACTTCAGCCTACTTTCAGCTAGAAATAAAATCTACCTTTAAACGGGTCTCAAGGCATTCAGCTATCCATATATGACTTTTCTCTTCAAAATATTCAGTTTCTTCTCATTTTTACAATGCATTCCTATGGGGCCAAATTAGAGTGGGATGATCAAAGGGGTCATATGACACTAGCTTTTCAGATAGTTCCACTTCTTCAAACTCCTTCAGATGACTTCCACATGCTTTAACCTTCATACATAAATTATACCTTAAAACATTGGAACATTTGTATTTTTTCAGCCAATGCTTTCAAAGCATTTAACTTTTTAGATTTTGACCTATGAGCCTCAGAGTCAGAGCTCTACCACCAAGATTACATTGAAAATCAATACAAAAATCCAACCAAAAACTTGAACAGCTCAGAAAAGTCTCCTATCGTGAAATCGCTCCCGTTTCGGCCCATTTCTGGCTCAATTTAAAAAAGAAAAACACACTAATTCACAGGAGCACATACACATTTAATGCAGAAAACACACAACACACACTAGACTGTGCAGCTCTGTGGTAAACCCCCACGTTAATCTCTCAGCTCCTGTTCTCTGTGACTCAGGTTAAACTTCATTGTGATCATATCCAAACTGTCTTCTGACTGTTTTTCTCTTTTTCACTCTTAAGAAAGTTGTTAATCTGATTTGTTTGACATTTGTCAATAGACCTCTTAGTCTTCAAATGCTCTTTAGCCGTCTCCTCAAACACAGCTGTTCCTGACCTTTGACCCTCTTCATACTGTTGTTTAGCTTGATCTGAAACTTCCTTTACGCTGGTTTCTAAATTTTTGGAGCTTCAGTTTTGGCCCTTTTATGACCCTCTTACAAAACAAAAGATACAATTTTGTAGCTTTAAGTGTTTCTTAGAAAATAAAGATACAATTTAGCATCTTTCTTTTTCAGTTCGAGTTCAATTTTCATTTCTTTCAAATGTCTTGGAATATAATTTCCTCTCTTAGCTCATATAACTATCACAGCAGTTAAACTTATTGAATTTTAGCTGGGATCTTTAAATTAAGGTATTTCAGGGCTGAGCTGTTGTCTTTATTTTTTTGGTTGTGCCTCAGAAGTAGTGTTCTTCTCAGGAAACCGAAGAACAGAGTACTGTCATCTATTCATGTCACTAGTCCCTAGTGGTGGTCTCATTGTGAGAGTGCTCACACAGGACCACAGACACACAGTACTCATTCCTGCTCCTTAGCTTCACACGTCTTCTGGGGCTGGAAACCCCCCGTATAATAAGCTGGACTTCACACCCGGCTCTCATTGGCCAGTGACCTCTGACCTGACCATGCCAGCTTCCTGTTCACTGTTCGCTGAATGTGTCAAAGAAGTGAATGGCTGTTGTGGTGGGCGTGTAGCTCATGCAGCACAGCTAACTGATAGATGGACCACAGGTACCACCGCCTGGTGCCCACAGAGAGAGACAGAGGAGCGGAGAGCAAATACAAGTATAAGATGGAAATCAGAACAGATGTTCCTGCACTTTTCTTCTGATTGTCAAATATTTTTCCACCTTAGAGCAACACGATCTAAGAGTCTGAGTGTGGCCGCGTTTCTCTTCTCCCACTGATTCCCGCGTCACTTTCAAATGTCTGACCTCTGACCTTCACATTAGTTTTGTGTGCATGCTGCTGACATTTCCTGTCACTGCCTCCACCCGCTGCATCATGGGTAAAATATGCATGCCCAGATGTTGACATTAAGACGAACTACAGCTGGGTTCAAAAGATGTGCATCACAAGGACCGACCTCACAGGATGTCATTTAATTGATTTGTCAGTTTTTTTCCTCGAATTTTAATATTCTTTAAACCGTCTAATTATTTCATCTTTTTTATTAGCACCTCTCAGTCATGTGTGTATGACTGTCTGTGTCATAAATGATCTGACTGTGATCCACCATGTCTAAGGTAAGTCCAGTTTTCGCAGATCCACTTAATGTAAGATTAAAGTTCCAGTTTTTGTATACATATTTTTCCCTTTCAATCAATTAGGAGATTTAAGTGGTTATTAGATATGCTGATGAAGTGTTACATGCTCCCTCATTCTCTCACCTGTAATTTATTTCAGCCATATTAATTTGTATTTTTCTTGTCTTTACAGAATATCTCTAAGGGAAATCATCCATGACCCGTATTACCCTGAGTGCATTTGAGGTAAGCAAAGCTGAATATTCAGCTTTGATGCAATATGTTACCGACATACTGATTTGTGCTTTTTTCTTCACAGATACAGACTCTTTTATCAAAGGATCTCAACGCATTGGAGGCCATTGGTGTTATTGAAAGCGAGGAAGAGGGAAGCCTCATGAAGAAATGCTTGAGTAGCAGAGGGTTTTTGTTAACGCAATAGCTCTTGTGAACACTATATACAATTAAAAAGTGGTGGATGCCCCCCAGAACCCATTTAAATCAAGCATTTTCATAATGTTAACTGCTGTTGAAGTATTTGACCAGTAGATTTTGTTCATATCTGTTGTTCAAACACCCAAAAGAAGCTCTGACTGTCATTCAGTCCAGACTTTTGGAAATCAACTTAACTATGAGGAGTGCTATTAAGGGTATTGCTATTTTACAAAAGCGGTCATTTTTTAATTTAGCAATGAGGTCTGACTCCCCAACAAGTAGGCATGAGGCAACCAAAGCTCTGGACCAGGCTGAAATGTCATTGCTTAAGAGAGAGGGAATGGATGACGGAGGGCAGGGAGGTGCCCCAGGGCTGGTTATTTCAACCTGTTGGGGCCCTCTCTGGAACAGTGAGGATCATCACAGTTTGTTTAAAGTGCAGCTTATTAACAGCAACTGACATGAGCCGAATGCTCTGAAGCTAGTTGCAGAGAAACACAATGCACTGAGCTTCAGAGTGAAGCTTCCATTGCAAAAACACCGTGTGGATCCTGGAGGAAGGCAGCTGTGATGGAAAGATTTGGCTCTGGTGACACGCTCAGGTCTTTTGGTGATTTGTCTTCTGTTATTCTCAGGTTTCTGAGAGGTAACAAACAGGTGTTGTCTTGTTCTGTACATCAATGCTTTCAATAAAATCATCATCTTGCTTCCTCAGACACAGGCTAAGACTCTTCTTTAATATTAAACATCTACAGCAGCAGCTCCAAGCTTTAAAGGGCTGGAGATGGAGGACATTAACAGGGAGGAGTCTCTTTATACTCAGCACACGGACGCAGAGGAACCAGCAGTAAAGCAGAACCTGAACCCAGAAAATGTAGGATATGCAATGAATGTGGTGTTGAATGTGTGGAGCTGGATCAGTGTGTCAGAGGAGACTTTATAGAAAGGCTCCAGCAGGACGGTCCACATACACTGCTCTTCTGAGAGAGGCAGAGCCTTTGCTTGTAAATGATTTTACATCATATTACATTAATTATTTAATTTGTTCATCATCACCAGAAAAGTTTCTCGTGTGCACAAACTTCTTTCTGATGCGAACCTATGTCCCTTCAGGGGCATAGGATAAGGACAAAATAAGACTATTTATATATTTTATATTTTTGTATAATCTTCACTTGTGTGAGTCTGTACTATATCTGTTCAACAGTTTTAGACATCAACACAACCTTACTAAATCAGATGTTAGCTTGGTATGACACTAAAATCGACTGTGGTTGTGTTTATGGAATAAAATTAGTTTAAAAATCCCCAAATTATGGTCTAAAGCCATCACATTACCGTGAACTTCCATCTGTTAAAGCATGCATGTCATGAATTCTACCCAATATGAATGCATCATTTTATTAGAAATTTAGAGGGTTAATTAATATTTGACTAGAAATTCATTTATCCCTCAAATAGCTCTGTTTCAATTTGCCATTAAAGGGACAGGCTCATGTTTCATTAGGAGATTCTCACTGAGGAAGGGGGGTTTTGTGGTTAGCATTATTCCCTCACAGTAAGACGGTTCTGGGTTCAAGTTCCCCCGGGGGACCCAGGACCTCTCTGGCTTCTTCCTCCCACTGTCCAAATAACTTGTCTCATGCTTTGGAATCATTAGAACTAAGGGTTTTAATGTTTTTCATGCATCAGTTTACAAACTAAACCTTTTTGCTGGAAAAATTCACTAAGAAAACACATTTCTAGTCAATAAAAGTTGGCATTTGAACTAAAATACTGTCAATATTAGGAAAATACTTAAGAGTTGTATTTTTGAGAGCTTGTTTTATAAAGACAACATACATCTCATTGCTCTTGATGAATGACAGGATTGGCTGAAGATAGAAGACTCTTTAGTCTTGGTGATTATCAGTCCAGCTTTATTAGAGTTAATAAGGTTCAAAATTACTTAACGGTCCTGCTGTTGTATCTTTATTCACATTTTTTTAATAACTTAGATGAACAGATTACAAAAAGTCAAATATTGGGAGATGATACGTTTTCTCGGTAGGGTCAAAACACACATTTGGCTTTTTAGGCTGAACATTAAGTTAATTGATCGCTGAAATTGGATAAAGTTTTTAACAGATTGGCAATTTGTCGACTTTCTTTGATTTTAAAAAGCATCATTAAAGGAACCTAGTGCTTTACAGCACTGTAACCACTTTGTCTGAGTTTGTTGATGCTTCAGACTCTGCATTTATCTATTTTTTTAATTAAAAAAGTTTAAGTCAAATTCTTCTCTTCAAACCAAACTCACAAAAGGCTCATCTCTAGGAAAACCCTCTGCTCATTCAGTTCCACTCTTAAAACTTCAAGGCATAGGCGTACTGACAGAGTTTGTCCACAGGGTGGTGCTGTTGTTTGCCACTCACAGGGACAGTGAAATGGATCCGTCTCACTGAGAGCAGCAGAGAGGATGCAGAATCTGAGTGAAAAGAACTGACATCAGGAAACTACATGTTCCAGACATGTGAACCAACAGGTTCTACAGGTGAGGTGGAGGCCGAGCAAAGCCGTCTTAAAGGCTGTGAATCCGTCAGTGTTTCCACTCAGGTGGAATGACGTCCTCTGGCTGTCCCAGCTCCTGGCTCTGTGAGGGAAAGCAGGATTCTGCTGTGAGTCTCTTTCATGTTATCTCTTTGTGTGTGTATGTGTTGTTGCTTCAGCTGGAAACAGCTGATCAGAAAGACAGAAGCCTCACTGGTCAAGAAGGGAAACAGTTGAGTAAAGAAAAGAGGGAACAGGGAGCATACAGCCAGAATCTGAAGGAGGCAGAGAGCCTGAAAACAGGATGAAATGTGTTCTGGTGTTAGTCAGTGGGATCAGCTGGTGGTGGTTGGAGGTGGATATTTGGATATTTGTTTGGACTGTGTGAAGCCTGCTGGCCTTCATGGGGAAAAGTCAGAGTCCCAGACTCATCCCACCTGTTTGACGCCTTTGTGCTGGTTCAGACCAGCTGGAGACAAACAGAGGAAGGTTTCAGACAAACAGCTGACAGTTGGGTCCTCGTCTGTCAGCCAGCAGCAGCTGTTTGCACATGCTCAGTTCTGTTCTTTTGTCTGTTCAGACAGGTAGGATTTGTAGGAGGAGCACAGTGTTAAGAACACTGTTCAGGACCTGTTTACACCTTGTTCAGGGAGAATGTGGGCTTCATCCTCTTCTTGAGAATGGTTCTTACTCAGTCACATGACAACAGGGTCTGCATAAAAAATGACAAGTCAACATGAGTATTTTGTTATGTATGTACATGGATTTTTTATGTGATTTTTAAAGTTTAGAATTACATTATTCCAATTGTCCTTAACCAGTTGAGTCCTGTTCTGTAAATCTATTGCTGTTTTTAAACTGTCAGGATTTTTTATCAAAGAAGTATTTATGTTTTTAGGTGCAAATGTAGGGAATCCTGGTTAAATCCACTTGAATCTCCACCATCTGGTTTTCACTGCAGCAGGTCTGAATGTTTCTCAGCCGCTCAGTAACACGCTGGCGCCATCTTGATTCTGTCAAAGCTAGAACTGATTAAGTCCTACTTAATACTGTGCTAGGACCAGTTCTTTAACCTTTTGACCTGCTGTAACAGAATTAGACATGTAGAAGAAAATGTAACATTTGTTCCATATGCAGTTGTTCAAATAAGACTCACACATTTCTCTTAATATGCTTACTGTGCTTTGTTTTACCAAGTTAGAGAAGCAAGGGGACTAGTTTTAACAGTCAGGCGCAGCTCCTAGGTCTTCATATCTTACAATATTTGAACTGTGACTGTATCCTGGTAATGAAAGAAAGCCCAGAGATTGGGATCTGCTGACGGTATTCTTTTTTTTTCAAAATGTTTTTACCTTGTCCTGTTCAGCATTATGGCAGCAGAACTGAATACTGAGTACCGAGCTATGCTGAACAAAATTGCTTTTCCATTGGTGGCTTTGTTAGTGAGAAGCCCCCCTTGATTGCCCAAAACTGCTTTATTTATCCATTTTTGTTACCAAACTTACATATGTCCAATAATGCTGAACCTGACAGAGGAACGGGGAAGAAAGAAGAGCAGTGGAAGGAGAGAGATCCGTTTGACAGAAATAGAATGGGGAAGAAAAAAAAAAAGTAAGAAAGACAACAAGACCATACAACCAGCTGCCATGTCTGTAAAAAGGACACTGTATTACAGTATTCCGAGGTCAGAAACCCCTCATCATCCAGTAGGTAACCAGCTCAGAACACTGGCTCCACTTTGTCTCCCTGCCTGTTAAAAGGAAGTTTTTCCTTGCCTGTGTCGCCTAGTGCTTGCTCATGGTGGGAATTGTTGGGTTTCTGTAGTTAACTTCAGAGTAGGGTCTGACCTGCTCTGTTTGGAAAGCGCTGTGAGACAACTGTTGTTGTGATGTGGCGCTATATAAATAAAATTTAATTTAATTGAATTGAAGTGTTGCTGTCTGCTATATATTTCACTTCATAGCAGTCTGCTTAGAATGTGAATCAAGTGTACCTGAATATGTTTCCCAATGAAAGTACAGTAGTTTAAACAAAGGACCATTTCTGTCCACATAGAAATCTCTGCTTCTCAACAGTTTTATTAGTTTGTTATATTTCATTTCATATGAGTCTGGTAAGCCTGGAAGGTTCTTTGTGAAACACAGAAACGTTTCTCTCCAGTCAAATAGAAAGTGTTCAGGTTAGTATGATAAAATCAAATGTTTGTAATGACTGCTTGTCAAGATTAGAGGTTTTTTTCACGTGTTAGTCGCGTGATTTCTGTTCATAATCTACTACCTGAGTTTTATATACATTGCATTCTGTCGTTGGCAGCTTACTAAAGGTTGTTTAGCTAGAAAACACATGGATTGCATGGAATCTTATCTTAGGTTATATCTCAGTGCCTGAGCATTCACAAGCTGACATTGTACAGCCACTGCTCCCTTTTAACAGGAAGAAAACAGGAATGTTGTCCATCTGCCAAAACCAGTTGGTGCCTGTGCTGAGCGTTTTGTGCATCACATACTCTCTGTGGCCAGACAACAGGGTGTTATTTCAACATGAGAAGTCCAAATGACGTTAAAACATATCTAACCTATATCCACTGAACACTGTCAAGTGTAAAGGTTAATCATTAATGGGGGCACGTGCATGTGCTCCAGGAGCCTGAAATGACCTGCAGTGTCCCACAGAAACAGCCTTGTAGGCTAAGCTGGAGCACTCCAAGACCCAGAATGCTTTTCTGATACACAGCTCTCTGTACCCCTCCAGTCACTGTGATTTTAAAGGCGCAATGAGCGCACACAATGTCTCCCACACATTACACATCGGTAATGAGTCCTGAGGGCGCGCCCATCGCCCAAATGACGTTCAGACTCATACAAAAACACAGCTGTCTGTGGTAAGTGGTTGCCATAGAAAACATGACAAAGGACATACGTCATACGGAGATCCCCCCCTTTGTGCAGCCCACATCAGAAGTGAACATTGGGGGTGAGGGAGTGACATGATAGGGAAGACAACTCATATCAACACAAATCATAGGTCCAGTTTCAAAAAATATTTTTTCTGAAGGACCCAGGCTCCACCTGTGCAATCCAAACAAAATGCCCTGGCTTGGAGGACAACATTACCAGATTCCTTTGCCAGAATCCTTTTCCCCATAGAGAATTAATGGCATTTCTGCGTCACAAATGTACTGTTAGGTCATCTTCTCGTACCGTTTGCTCAACAAAGGCAAGTCGTACATAATTTTGTAGGTCTATGTCTCGGCTTTCAACCACTGTGTCCCCCATCCGACTGTCCCCCCCGGGCCACAGCTGAGTTGCACCTGCTTAATGTCTGCCACCAGCCGTTCTCTTTCTCTCCTTCTGTGGCTCTCAAAGGTGCAAACCATCACTCTGGAGAGCCCAAATGTCAGCTCTCTGACCTCCCCAGATTCTCTAAGGGGCCGGTTTTGAGGGCCTTGTCCAAAAAGATGGAAGACAAAACGGGCACTTCAAAATTTCTTTAGAAATTTTCCAGTTTTCATTTTCCTTTAACAGTCCAGTCTTGATCTGTAGATGTATTTTTGTTTTTGATTTGAAACTGTCAGGACTTTTATGTGTCATTGTGGTAGTCTGCATAAGTGTAGACTTCTATAATCCCTATAAAGGATATGGAGCAGTGAATACATTTGACTTTCCATCTGCAGTTCAGAGATTTCTGAATTTCATTTCAGCAATTTTATCTTATTTATACAAACAAATCATTTGAGAGTGCCACTTTAAGATGACCCTGTGACTCCAAACTGCAAAGCAGAAGCTTCACTTGTTGTTCACTGGTTTTGTACATTATTTCAATTGATTTTGAGATTTTCAATTTTATATAATCAACATGTTTTTCCAGTTAAGTTTTTTCCCAATCACAACCCTGTATAGTTTGATCACCCAAACCCTTTGTCTTTTAATGTTAGAGATTTTACTTTGAATATTACTTACAAATTGGTTCCAAATATAATAAATTAGGTTTTCTTTACAATTATAATCATAAGAGAGCATTTATTGACATCAAATTAAGTTTGAAGCACCCCAAGTTTTCCAAGTGCTCCACTTTTTTCCGGTAAATAATTCTGATCAGAAGTACAATTGCTTTAATTAACTCTAAGAAAATACCGTCTATATGAAGATCATTATCAATTGCATCAGTTATATCTTCAGACATGGTCATCACTGCATATGCACTTGTTCTGCTCTTTCTAAATCCATATTGTTGTTCATTTAAAATAATATATATTTTTAATAAAATTAAGTGTTTTATAAACTTTACTAAAAGTTTTGAAAACTGTGGCAGTAAAGCTACTAGCCCGTGCTTATCAAACTGTCTGTCACCTTTCAGGTCTCTGTAAACATGCAAATGTATTTGAAGAAATATTATTTTCTCTAAATTTCTGAAGTGATTTTTTAAAAATGAATTTGAACCATTCTTCTGCAGATGCAGGTATAAAGTCTGTGTGAGCCGGTGTGAATTCAGCATCATGGATCAGGGTGAGGAGCCTAAAAGCTCTCTGTGTGGGGAACATGAGAGCCAGAGCAGAGCTCAGAGGTGAGAGGACCAATCTCTAACTGTCAGGGGCTGTTCTCCATGTCAAACTCCCAGACTAAAGCACCTTTATTCACAGGAAAAAACCAGGACCAGAACCACAACCCAGTTGTGTGTCCTTTAAAAGTGACCAGTCAATGGGCAGGTTTATTGATTTCAGACAGGATTTTTCATCCGACAAACAGTAAGTAGCTGTCAGTGTTCAGAGGAGTCCGCTTCCTGTTTCAGATGATAACCAGTTTTCATATGAACTTTATCAGACCTGGATCGGTTCTTGATGCGTCTGTGAGACTAATTCTAACATGATGTTTTAGTTCAGTCCTGCAACTCTTTATTCAAACAAAGGGAGACTATCACTGAGCAGTTGTCCTGGCTGGAACATTGTTCCTCAGCAGCCACAATGACTCTCTGACAGGTGTCTCACTGCAGACTCAAACACCTTCACTGAGTTTGAAGAAAACAAGTGTTTTTCTTGTTCTCATCAGGATCCTTCAGAGACTCAGACCTGGATCTGAACCTGGACCTGAACCTGGACCTGAACCTGGACCTGAACCTGGACCTGAACCCAGCTGTGTGTCCATGAAGAGTGACTGGTCAATGATAGATCCCATTAACTTCAAACCAGCCCATCATCCATCATTTGAGATGTGAGCTGTGTGTAAATCCTGTAACAGTGTAAAATGTATCACAGTCAGTTTGAACAGCTTTATTCCAACATGTGTTTAATGTGAGCTCAGCTCTGATTCCATCATTTGTGTCTTCAGAAGTGAAGCTCTGTGTGTTGAATGTTTGCCTTAAAGTCTGTAAAGTGGACGGAATGGATGTTGGATGAGGCCTTTGTAAGTGTGTGTAGGAGAGCAGTTGGTCCAGCTGGTGCCCCCTTTGTGCTTTGGCTCTAACACAGTGGAGCTAGGAGCTTCCACTCAGTGGCAGCTGCTGCTGGATGGAGGAGGACACAGAGTTTGATTTAAAGGAAAAAGCTGTAGGTCTCAGTAGGACCGGGAGGACCACTACAGGGAGTCATCTAATGGACTGGAACATCCACACATCAGCTCATGGACCTTCAGCTTGTGTTTTTCTGTGTGTGGACAGACAGAATGTGTGCTCATTCTTTATTCCTCCACAGAGTGGAGCATCAGGGCTCAGAGGTTCCCAGTGCTCAGTCTAGCCAGCAGCATCCAACACAGCTGGACTCCATCTTTATGGTTTGGACATGTTCTTTTCTGTTTCTGTTCATTCATCTCCACAATGCACTCTGTAGACCAGTGGATTGTCAGAGTGTCCTACATGGAGATGATGTTCGGCTCCAAGTTTCAGTTAGATTGGCTCATTCAGATAATGTTCTGTTTTTAGCTGCTGGAGGACAACATGCTAATTTTTGTGAAAGAGGAGCTGAAGAGGATGCAGAGGGCTCTGAGTCCAGATGACCCACAATGCTTAGAGAGTCAGAGGGAGGATGAGGATGCAGAGCAGATGAGCAGCAGAGAGGCACTAGTGAAGATCACAGTGCACTTCCTGAGGAGAATGAAGCAGGAGGAGCTGGCTGAGCGTCTGAGGAGCAGTAAGAGGATTTCTCTGAAGGTTTAACCTGCTGGAGAAATGACACATTTATTCAGATGTTAAGACACTCATTGTTTACATTGCCAAATTTGTATTTAATAAAGTTATTTTTCGTCTCTATTCAGAACATTGTGCTGCAGTTTGTGGACGTAAACATAAATCTGCTCTGAAGAAGAAGTTCCAATGTGTGTTTGAGGGCATTTCTAAAGCAGGAGAGCCAACCCTTCTGAATCAGATCTACACAGAGCTCTACATAACAGAGGGAGGGACTGCCGAGCTCAATGAGGAACATGAGGTCAGACAAATTGAAGCAGCATCCAGGAAAGCACAGAGAGCAGAAACAACCATCAGACAGGAAGACATCTTTAAATTCCCACTTGGAAGAGACCAACCAATCAGAGCAGTGCTGACAAAGGGCGTTGCTGGCATTGGGAAAACAGTCCTAACACAGAAGTTCACTCTGGACTGGGCTGAAGGCAAAGCCAACCAGGACATCCACTTCCTGTTTCCCTTCACCTTCAGAGAACTGAACCCGCTGAGACAGAAAAAGTTCAGTTTGGTTGAACTTGTTCATCACTTCTTTCCTGAAACCAAAGCAGCAGGAATCTGCAGCTCTGCAGAATTCCAGGTTGTGTTCATCTTTGACGGTCTGGATGAGAGTCGACTTCCTCTGGACTTCAACAACAAGGAGCCCCTGACTGACGTCACAGAGTCCAGCTCAGTGGATATGCTGCTGACCAGCCTCATTAGGGGGAAGCTGCTTCCCTCTGCTCACCTCTGGATAACCACACGGCCCGCAGCGGCCAATCAGATCCCCGCTGACTGTGTTAGCATGGTGACGGAGGTCAGAGGCTTCAGGGATGAGCAGAAAGAGCAATATTTCAGGAAGAGATTCAGAGAGAAGAGCCAGGCCAGCAGCATCATCTCCCACATCAAGAGCTGCCGGAGCCTCCACATCATGTGCCATATCCCAGTCTTCTGCTGGATCTCTGCTACAGTTCTGGAGGACGTACTGAGAACTAGAGAGGAGGGGGAGCTACCCAAGAGCCTGACTGAGATGTACATCCACTTCCTGGTGGTTCAGGCCAAAGTGAAGAGGGTCAAATATGATGGAGGAGCTGAGACGGATCCACACTGGAGTCCAGAGAGCAGGAAGATGGTGGAGTCTCTGGGAAAACTGGCTTTTGATCAGCTGCAGAAAGGAAACCTGATCTTCTATGAATCAGACTTGACAGAGTGTGGCATCGATATGTCAGCAGCCTCAGTGTACTCAGGAGTGTTCACACAGGTCTTTAAAGAAGAGAGCGGGCTGTACCAGGACAGGGTGTTCTGCTTCATTCATCTGAGTGTCCAGGAGTTTCTGGCTGCTCTTCACGTCCATCTGACCTTCATCAGATCTGGACTCAACCTGCTGGAAGAGCAACAAATAACCTTGATGAGACTTTTTAAGAAACCAAAGCTAAAAGACCTCCATCAGAGTGCTGTGAAGGTGGCCTTGAAGAGTCCATATGGACACCTGGACCTGTTCCTCCGCTTCCTCCTGGGTCTTTCTCTGCAGACCAATCAGAGGCTCCTACAAGGTCTGCTGACACAGACAGGAAGTAGCTTACAGACAAATCAGGAAACAGCTCAGTACATCAAGAATAAGCTCTGTGAAAATGTGTCTGCAGAGAGAAGCATCAACCTGTTCCACTGTCTGAATGAACTGAATGATGGTTCTCTGGTGGAGGAGGTCCAACAGGCCCTGAGTTCAGGAAGTCTCTCCACTCATAGACTTTCTCCTGCTCAGTGGTCAGCTCTGGTCTTCGTCTTATTGTCATCAGAGGAAGATCTTGATGAATTTGATCTAAAGAAATATTCTGCTTCAGATGAGGCTCTTCTAAGGCTACTGCCAGTGGTCAAAGCCTCAAAGAAAGCTCTGTGAGTACAGACACAGATTTATGTCTTTTGAAGTGGTCACTTATTAGCTGGAGACCAGCAGAGTCACAGTCAAACTCAGTTTTAAGGAAACTGCAGTTTAATTATGAGCTCTACAGACTCTTGCAGATGTCATTTTCCATATTAATGAGATCCCATTTCATCTTTAGTCAGATTATTAATATAATACATTATACACAGACATAATCATTCTAAGTGTTTCTGGAACTGAGTTTGATGTTTTTTAACAGCATGGACAGAAAATCTCCACACGGTTTATCAAACACATCGCTGTAGGTGACTACAGGTTAGAGCTCCAAGTCCATGTTCTCCTCCAGATGTGAAACAGCACTAAAAGAATATCTGACAACTTTATCTAAAGTGATGTGCAGGATATATCTCCTGTCCACTCCATGCAGTGCACGGAAATGTTTTCTTTGTGTCTGGAATTTCATCAGACTGTCAAAACAGCTGCATGTCTTCATTATGTCTGAACTTAGCTCTAGTTTAACTTTAACTTTTCTGATGTTTTAACATGAATCAACCCAAGAAAATCTAAAAATAGATGTTTTTGGTTATTTTTATTAGGTGGATTTTATCAAAATTGTTTTCATGAACAGAAAGAAACAGAATTCTACAAAAGCTGTTTGACTGATTGATGATTTAATACATTTGTGTTCTCTCTTCAAAGGCTCAGTGACTGTAACCTCTCAGAAAGAAGCTGTGAAGCTCTGTCCACAATTCTCAGCTCTCAGTCCTCCAGTCTGACACATCTGGACCTCAGTAACAACCAGCTGGAGGATTCAGGAGTGAAACATGTTTCTGCTGGAGTGGAAAGTCCAAACTGCAGACTGGAAACACTAAGGTCAGAACTGGATGAACACTGAAATAAAATCAAGATGCATATAAATCAGTCAAGGCAAATAAAGTTACAAAATGTTTGTAATAGACGAAGAAAGAATTTTCAACATTTAGGGTAAAATCACAACATTAATTTAGACTTTTTGCATGGTGATAATTGATAAATATTCAAAAGTGATTTCTGTTTATTTTTTACATGTGTTTAAGGCCAAAAGACTCCAAAACAAAACCAAAAAAATAAATCTTTTCCATCTTGGATTAGGCTTTAAAGGGTTAAGTATCTGGTACTATCGAGGAGGAGGACTTATCTAGTCTAGTAGAGGAGTTTACAGAAGTCCTGTTCGCTGGGAGTTATGATGCTGGAGTCAGTAAGGTGGTTCTAAATCCAACCGGGGGAGGAAATTGAATCCAAGAGTGGCAGTTCAGGAGGCAGAAGCACGTTTTAGGCATACAGAGGTTATAGTGGGTAATATAGGTGGGTAATATTCTAATAGGTTGGGGAGGCTTGGAGCTTGGCCCAGGCAAACTGGTGTGGAGAATAGCAGCTCCCAAAGAGAAAAGGGAAGCTTGTTGTGGAGCAAGTTTGTAGGCAGGAGGGAATTATCGTGTTTATGTCAGAAGATCTTATGTTGTATTAATGTTATGTTCAGGTACTGCATCTCTAAGGACTATTATTCAGGCTGCAAGATTAATCTGTCATTTTGCCGGTAACCGTGGAGGCATATCATGGTTTGAAGAAACTTAGCACTGGTGGAGCGGGCAGAGTTCCAGAGCCACTGAAGTCACTGCGTCTAAAGCAGCAGGGTGTTGTCATTGAGATAACGGGAGCTCTTTTTAACTTTACATGAAAATAACAGTTAATTCCCCATGATATTTCAACATTATTGTAATGAACAAAAATAAACTGAACTCTACAAAACCTGTTTGGCTGAGTGGTGATGTAATCCATGTATTTTCTCACTTCTCAGACTCAGTGGCTGTAACCTCTCAGAGAGAAGCTGTGAAGCTCTGTCCTCAGTTCTCAGCTCTCAGTCCTCCAGTCTGACACATCTGGACCTGAGTAACAACCAGCTGAGGGATTCAGGAGTGAAACACGTTTCTGCTGGACTGAGGAGTGAAAACTGCAGACTGGAAACACTCAGGTCAGAACTGGATGAAAACTGACCTTTCCTTCCAGATAAGTAATTTTAGGATTTTGAAGAAGAACATATGTGAATATGAGCAGCTTTATTTAGGAAATCAGCTGAATTGATAGAAACCTGTGATCAGTGTTTTATGAAAGATGCAGAAAGATCAGCAACAGGTTAATATTAATCTGTCTGAAATTTTAGATGCAGTTTATTTACAATGTGGAGACTAAAGTTTGAATAATTTTCCTTTGTGACATCACGTGTTCAGTGGCTGCATGTTCTCATTCCTACTTTAACATGAACACTTTCAGAATGTTTGAACCTTTGCTGCAGTTTGAAATGTTAAAAGTTGATCCTCCAGATTGGTTCAGAGTAATAGAGACTGATGTCATTGATCAGATTGCTGACCGAGTGCTTTAGAGCCATCATTAGATCAACATGTGATAACATCCAGCTTCTGTCTCAGAGCAGCTCTCAGAGATTCTTTGTTGTTCTGTGTGTCTGCAGCCTGTCCAGCTGTGGGATCTCGGAAGAAGGCTGTTCCTCTCTGGCCTCAGCTGTGACCTCCAATCCCTCCCATCTGAAGGAGCTGGACCTGAGCTCCAACCATCCAGGAGATTCAGGTGTGAAGCTGCTGATGGCTGCTCTGAAGGATCCACACAAACTCAGGTATGAAGAGTCCTCCTGCAGCCACAAGCTCTGATAGAGGAGAAAGAGCTGGAAACACATGCTATTTCATTCAGCTCTCTTTTTTGTTTCAAACTGGAAGAGGAGACTCACAACATGCTGAATTAAAGCTGTAGATGTTTTGGAATTGCTCAAAAAATTAAAAGAACTTCAGTGATCTCAAAATAAAAAAGAAACCATCAAAGACTCTAATAACTCTGGATCCTGACAAACTGCCAATGAATCAGAACTTTAGGTAATCGGGGGTCAGAAATGAATTGAGGCATGAGAAACTGAGTGGATGTTTTCTCTGTTAATTGTCATGTTTGGGTTAACGTGTCTAGCCCACATGCAGAACACCAGAATTTGAACGAAAGTCAGTTAAAGATATTTATTGTACATCCACAACGAACAGCGTGATGTGGGGGGGTCTTCGGGGAGGGAATCGGGAAACAGCGGTTACTGCGGGACCACCAGTGGAGATGGTGAGTTCAGGTCCGGTGGGAATTTCTGCGGTTGAGAGGGGAGGATCGGCGCTTACTTGGGACGAGGACGGAATAGGATTCGGGGAAGGCGTCTGTGGTTCCAGGCAGAAAGAAGTCCTAAACGAGGAGGCAGCGTTGGAGGGCGGACAGGCCAGCTCCGTCTCGGCGGGGGTGGAGAAGGTCCGATGCCCCCCCGCTGATCGCTGGGGAGTCAGGTGATCGGCTGGGAGCACTGAAACGCGGGACTCGGGCATCCAACAAAAAAACACCTGAAGAGTACAGAGGACAACGAAGAATTATTCTCGAGGGAAAAAGCTGACTCAGAAGCCTAGCACTGAGGGGCTCGGGTACCATGTGGGTAAAACACTCCGGCGTCGGAGTGCTGGCAGGCAGCTTCTTTAAACTCCTGGAGGTGATGAGGTGATGCCAGCCCGGTGCGCGGAACCATGGGCACGCCTACCCAGTGCACAGCTCCCGGCGCTCCCTGGTGGCCACCAGTGAGGCCAACAAAAACAAAACAACAAAACAAACGCCCCTGGAACCCGACATTAGTATGTAAACAGTCACATTAACAATACTAGTTTGGAATAAAATAATCTTTTCTACTGTAGATAGACTTTTGCTTTAAAAGAAAGATAAACTAAAAAAGTTCTAAGTCAGACATTTTCATTCTGACATGTGATCAGCTCAAACTGACAGACTGGAGATTTCTTATGTATTAATGGAACAGCATGTTTCTCTCTATATCTGCTAAATCAGAATAAGAATCAGCTTTATTCATCAAGTATGTGTAACCTTACAAGGAATTTGACTTCAGATTTTCCTCACTTCAGTGGAGTTACATACAAAATACAACATCAGGTATTAGTATTTACAAAAGAACAAGATATATGTACAGTACATGATTGCAGATATAGAAAATATGTACATGTGTGCAAATTGTGCAATGGGCATGTATGACAGGTGAATTATGGAGTAATCTGAGAAGGGGAAGAAACTATTTTTTTATCTGGCAGTCTTGGCGAACAGAGTTCTGTAATGCCTACCAGAGGGAAGCAGTTCAAACAGTTTGTGTGCAGGGCTGGAGGGGTCTGCAGTGATGCTTCCTGTCCATTTTTTTGACTCTGGACTTGTATAAGTCCTGAATCGAGGGGAGGTCAGCCTCATTGATGTACACAAGACAGACTGGATGATGGAGGTGTAGAAAATGATCAGCAGGTCCTGAAGCTGGTTGAACTTCAGCTGTCGGAGGAAGTGCAACCTCTGCTGGGCCTTATTCCTGACAAAGTTTATGTGGGACTTCCACTTGAGATCCCGGGCAATTGTGGTTTCCAGGAACTTAAAGGAGTCCACAGTAGTTACTGTCCTGTTTAGGATGATGAGGGGGGGTAATGTGAGTGGGTTCTTTCTAAAGCCCACTGTCCACAGTCTTGATTGGGTTGCGTTTCAGGTTGTTATGTCCGCACCACAGGACTAGTTGGTCCACCTCATGATGACAACTATGGTGTCGTCCGCAAACTTCAGAAGTTTAACGGACGGGTCCTTTGAGGAGCAGTCGTGGGTGTAAAGGGAGATGAGCACCGGGGAAAGAACACACCCCTGGGGGGAGCCAGTGCTGATGGACCTGGTGCTGGAGTTGATGCTCCCCAGCCTCACCTGCTTACAAGTGGAGGCTGGCGCTATGAGCTGTGAGAGTTTCTGATGGAGGGTTTCTGGAATGATGGTGTTGAATGCAGAGCTGAATTCCCTGGGGTGTTCAAGGATGAAGTGCAGTCCCATGTTGAGCAGGTAGGCAAACTGGCGGGGGTTGAGCAGGGGGCCTGTGATGACCTTCAGGTGGTTCAGCACCAGCCTCTCGAAGGATTTTATGACCACAGACGTCAGGGCGACGGGCCTGTAGTCATTCAACCCCTGATGGTGGGTTTCTCGGGAACCAGGCTGATGGTGGAGCGTTTGAAGCAGGAGGGGACTTCACACAGCTCCAGAGATCAGTTGAAGATCTTGGTGAAGACAGGTGCCAGATGGTCAGCACAGATTTTCCGGCAGGAGGGTGACACTCCATCGGGTCCTGGAGCCTTCCTGGTCTTCTGCCACTGGAAAAGCTGATGCACCTCTGTCATGTTTACCTTCAGTGCTGGTCTGGTCAGAGTTGAGGGGCGTGGGGGTGTGGTCAGGTATTACGCAGAGGTTGATTGATATGGATGGGGTGGGTGATGGGTTTGAAAACCGGGAGTAGAATCTGTTCAGTTCCTCTGCCAGTACCTTGTTACCCAGAGGGTGGGTGAATGGGCTCCCGTAGTTGGTGATGTCTTTGAGGCCCTTTCACACTGAAGGCTGAAAACTCGTTTTTCAGCTTTTCAGAGTAGCACCTTTTAGCAGCTTTGATCTCCCTCGTCAGTGTGTTCCTGGCCTGTTTGTACAGGGCCGGTCCCTACTTCTGTGGGCCTCCTCCTTGGCCTGGCGCAGCTTCTTAAGTTTGTTGGTGAACCGTGGTTTGTTGTTGTATGTGCAAAAGGTTTGGGTCTGCACACACGAATCCTCACAAAACCTGATGTAGGATGTCTGTTTGTTGAGGCTCTGTGGCTGCACCCTCAAAGACCCTCCAGTCAGTGCAGTCAAAGCCGGTGTTAAGGCTCGACAAGAACTGAACCCATCCATCCAACCATTATCAATATCGCTTATTCCCTGATGGGGTCGCCGGGGGAACTGGAGCCTATCCCAGTGGTCAACGGGCGAGAGGCAGGGTACACCCTGCCCATAGCAAAAAACAAGGAGGGAACGTTTAGCAGTACGCCACAGTTTATTCTCCCAGATGTCGGGACGGAAAACAAATAAAACAAAACACACTTGTATTAAGTTCCTCTTGTATCTTCATCAGTTTTAGGCTAAAACAAAACACAGGAGACCTGAGAGCGAGGATGGCAGGACACAGAGAGCGTGGGGGCAGGCAGCCATGGAAGGCATGCTGGGATCATTACTTGGACAAAAAGAATAAGGCAAAAACAGTTCAACACTGTAGGCAGGGGCAAAAGATACGCAATGCAAAAAACATCAGTCGTAGGAACTGGACTCGAGGTTACCATACGGTTTTTATGTCAGAGCACTGAATGAAGATCCCAGCGTCCCTAAGAAGTCTCCCCAGGTAACTGGCCACAGGTGTGCTGAACTAAAAGAGTCGTTAGCTGGACACACCTGCGACTGTGTCCCTGCGGTAGGCCTTCTGGCTCTCTGCCTCACAACAGTAGGCCTGTAGCTCCAGCTTAGACTCAGCTGTGGGACACTTTATCTGTTGTCTGTTGTCTGGAGAGAAGCGTCCAGGATGTACTCACTGAGCCAGGTTTCAGTGAAGCACAGGGCGGCAGAGTTTCAGAAGTCAGAATTTTTTTAGATTAAAAGCAGCAGTTTCTCCGTTTTGTTAGCCAGTGAGCGAGCATTTGCCAGGTGAATAGACAGGAGTGCCGTGCGTAGTCCCCGTTGGCCAAGCCAGCCTTGAAAAGTGGCAGCGTAAAATTAAGTGAAGTGTCCCTTATATTTAAGAGTTCTTCTCTGGAATACTGGTGTGAAAAAACTGTTTAGAAAATAACAAAAACTACAAAAGAAATCGTCCACATGGACGAGAGAAACTCCGAGGCAGCCGTCCACGGCACCATCTGGGAACAGATTACATAAAATAATAACTAAATCTTCCTTTGAAAGTGCTCAGGTCTGGAGAATGAAGAATATAACTGTGTCACATCAAGTGAGATGAGATGAATCGCAGATGAAGAATGTTGATCAGATCACATTTATTTAATTTCACATTCTGTCCATCCAGGCTGACTTTTTACATTTTCTTATCACAGACTTGCAGATTGTGGACTGTCAGAGAGTGTCTGTGAAGCTGTGGCCTCTGCTTTAAAGTCCAGCCCCTCCCATCTGAAAGAACTGGACCTGAGTAGAAATGAACTGATGGATTCAGGAGGGAAACATCTTTCTGCTGGACTGGAAAGTCCAAACTGCAAACTGGAGACTCTGAGGTTAGTTCACTGCAGCTCTGTCAGCTTTTCCATTTTTTTGGTTTAAATTATGTGTTTACATATAAAATTATCAAAAGAAGCTCTATAGCTGTGTCAAATTTTTACCTGGCAAAAGACATTCTTATCTCCATTTCATTGATTGAAAATTACATTGTAAGTTGGAGGAAAGATCCTGTAAGAAATAGTGGCCTTCACTTGTCTCGGTAAGTTCCTTTGATATTGCTTGGTTCAGTAAAGTTTAGGCTGTGTGATCTGGCTTTTGGGGGCTGCTTTTTGCAGATATTTTATGCACACTGGACGTGGTGCGTCATCTCCACTCATCTTTTCATGGTCAAAAGTTAACAGAATTTTTTGCTGTTTTATTAACTCATTCGCTGCCAAAGACGTCTATAGACGTCTTTTCAAATCCAACCGCTGATTGCCAAAGACGTCTATAGACGTCTTTTATGTTTTTCAATGCGAGTGGCTTGGGGGACGATCGGCGAAAGTTTTTCCGTAAATATCGGCTTCTAGACAGAGTATGGACTAACAAATTTACCCTCTAGGTAGCTGTGCCACTTTTGATGGGAGATTAGCATAGATTGTAAGCAAATAAAAACAAACGCAATGGTTCGCTATGAGAGAAATGGCGCCGGTGAGACGCACGTCGAGGAAGAACGGAATAAGGTAAAAAACAAAAAAAAAATTCCTGATGAAAGAAGAGAGTCTACTCTTTCTTTTGGTGTGTTCGGTGTTTACATAGTCATAGCACAAACTATTCTGTGGCTCTTGAAAAATCAGTCAAAATTCTCAAAAAACTCTGGCAGTGAGCGACTCTCTGTTCTGAAAATGGCTGGCAGTCAATGAGTTAAAAGAAGAAATCACAATCCCTCCTTCCTTTTTTTACAGGTTTAAAAAACATTTAATGTGATGTTTAGAAATAGCCCTGAGATGGACTGACAGACTGTCCAGGGTGTACCCTACCACTCGCCAATTGAATACTGGGATAAGCTCCAGTCCCCCCACAACCCCAATTGAAAATCAGAGGCTCAGAAAATAGATGGATTAGTGGAAGGAAGAAGAAATAGTACAACCCTCATATTTTTCCATCCCTTCTGCGGGAAACTTTAAAGCTCAATGAAGCACAGACTTATTTTGCGAACTCTCACTGATTTTAACATGACAAAAGTTTATTCAGAGAATAATTGTGCTTTGACAATAAATCAGTACACAGCATAATGTCTCCATGGTAAACAGACCCACGTAACAGGGAGCCAGTTTACAGGAGGTGTGTGGGAGAGGAAGGTTGCGGGAGCGGAGGAAGACCATCTGTCCAGGCTGGTAGGAAGGGGCCTCAGACCTCCGCTGGTTGGTGGCATCCTCAGACAATTTGGGGGCTTTCTTTAGGGCGGCCTGAGCCGATGTCCAGATGCGGTAGCAAAAACGGATGTGAGCTTTTACAGTGGGCCCAGAGATATCAGCCTTTTGACTAGGAAATAGAGGGGATTGGTATCCGAGGGATGCCTGGAAAGGGGACAAACCGATTGCTGCGCACCATGGTGCTGAGGGAGTACTCCACCCAGGATAGGTTCGTGACTCAGGTGGCAGTGTTGCATGTGGTGATGCAATGTAGGGTCATCTCCAATGACTGGTTGGTGCATTTTACCTTAGACTGCGGACGGTATCCAGAAGAGAGGCTGGCTATGGTGCTGATTCACCTTCCCCTGATTCCCTTCCCTGATTTGCCAGACCTTGGAGATAAACTGGGAGCCCAGTCAGACACAATGTCCTTGGGTATTCTGTGTTGGTGAAACAAATTCTGGACCAGGAGCTCTGCTGTCTCAGCAGCTGAGGGCAGTTTGGGAAGGGGCCCGAACAGCCTTGGAGATCCGGTCGACCAACGTCAGGATGGTGTCATTGCCCTGAGAGATGGAGAGGCCAATGACAAATCCAGGGCAATTCAAGACCACGGTCAACCAGGGAGAGGAAGTCGGTAAAGGAGACCTGCCGAGGAGCGATCGGAGGTTCAATTCTCACAAGCTCCCTTGTGTCATCCTCCAAAGATGGCCACCGGAAGCATCTTTGGATGAATTCCATCGTTCTGACAAGGCCTGGATGACAGGTAAACTTGCTGGAGTGTCCCCAATGCAGCACATAGCTGCAAACAGAAGCGAGGAAGAAGATCCGATTCTGGGGTCCATTGCCAGAATCGGTTTGGTTGCGCTGGGCCTGTCTCACCACAGACTCGATTCTCCAGGAAATTGTTCCTACCACGTGGGTGGGGGGAAGGATAGTGTTGACGGCTACAAGAAGATATGGTGCATTTGCCGGAAAGCACAGATATAAAGTATCCGCTTTGGACCAGGTCAGTAGGTGAGAGTGTCAAACCAGTTGAAAAACAGGGCCCAGTGTGCTTGCAGAGGACCTAGCCTTCTTGCCGTCTGGATCTAGGACATAAATTTGTGATCAGACCACACAAAAAACGGCTGCTTGGAACCCTCCAGCCAGTGCATCCACTCCTCCAAGGCAGCATGCACCGCCAGCAACTCCCTGCTGCCAATGTCATCATTTTTCTCAGTGGGGGTAAACCTCAGAGAAGAAGGCACAGGGATGAGCTGGTCCTTCCCAGACCACTGGGAGAAAAACAGCCCCAATATCCTCATCGGATGCATCGACTTCAACAATCAGCTGCTGGTCGGAGTCCGGAAGAGAAACCACCGGGGCCGTCGTCAACTGCTCCTTGAGAGCTGTGAAGGCAGCCTCTGCCTCTGGAGACCAGGAGAAAGGGCGAAGGGTCAGGGTCAATGCAGATTGGGAAGCAGCGATCCGACTGAAACGACAAATCAATTAGAAGGGAACAACCCCATGAACCACTGGAGCTGCATGCGATCTGTAGGATGAGCCCATTCCTCCACCGCATGCATCTTCCTGGGATCAGGGTGGATACACCCCAGAAGCACATGCTGGCGGTGCTCCTCCTCAGATCAAGAAAACACAAGGATGTCATCCAGATATACCACAACCAAGGTATTGAGCACGTCCCTGAGCACATCATCTACAAGGTCTTAGAAGACAGCAGGGGCGTTGGTAAGGCCGAAATGCACAATGAGGAACTCAAAATGCCCTAGGTGGGTATTAAACCGTCTTTCACTCATCCCCTTCTTACCAAGTGGTAAGCATTTCATAGGTCAAGCTTGTGAAGATAGTGGTGTGAGAGAGTGGCTCGAATGAGGAGTTAGGCAGGGGGAGATGATATTTATCCCTAAACGTGATGTAATTTAGGTCACGTAATCAATACACGGCTTAAAACTATCATCCTTCTTAAAGAAGAAGCCTGTTGCGACAAGGGAGGGACTCTGTACAATCTCTCTTTCCCAGAATGAGAAATAACATCACAGACCACTCACTTCGAGGGCACAATCATAGGGTCGATGAGGTGGAATGGAGAGGGCGCTCTTCTTCCTAAACACCTCTGCCAAGTCATGATAGCAAGGATGGATACCAGAGAGGACAGGGGGTCAGGACTCAGGGTTGGACTCTCTTATAGGTGAAGGAGCCGCGTGCAAACAAGTGGCACTCTCAAACCATGGCCTGCCAAGCTACAGGGGAGTTGTGGGGGCATGCAGAACAAAAAAACAATTTTTTCGCTGTGATTACCTGACAAAATGAGGGTAAGGAAAATAGTAGTATGGAAAACACGCCCCAGGGGGAGTGAAGGGGAATGAGGAGAATACAAGCTTGACGAGCAAGCGTGGCCTCCATAATGCAATTATCAGCCCCTGAATTCATAAAAACTAGAAGCAATAAAGACTTAGACTCCCAAGAGAGTGTGCAGGAAAAAGGTGATTATTCTTCTTCTTTTTTGTAGATAGAGGGAGAGAAGTTCGGCTCATTAGTACTCCCTTACCTAATGGGTCTTTAGGCCGTGTGGGACCGGCTCGGTTGTGATGACCTGGTTTCCCACAGTAGAGGCACAGGCGGTCCCGCATCAGCTGTTCTCGCTCCTCTTTTGACGGTCCTGACCTAGCCTACTCCATTGACTCGTCTTCGGCACAGGGAAAGTAGCCTTCAAGACTACCGGGAGTAGTCTTAAATCATGTTTGGATGATAGAAGAATCTCCCGGGAATCATCCCTGCTGATTGAGTGTGAAACTCTGAAATGAGGCACACCTGCAGGACATTTAGCGTGCTCCCTGCAGCGCTCACACAGCCGATCGTCCATGAGCAGTGCCAAGGAGATCAATTCCGAGAGGGTGGAAGGGCGATCCCAAATAATTAAATTCTTCACTGCGTTGCTAAGCCCCCTCAGGTAAGCGCTATGGAGAGTGTTGTCGATCCAGGTGCTATCTGCCGCCAGCATGCAAAACTCCAGGGAGTAGTCAGCCACTGACCTGGACCCCTGGGTAATTGAATGGAGGAAGCTAGCAGCATCCGTTCCATCCATGGGATGGGCAAACACAGGGTGAAACTCTTTCAGTAAAGCTGGATAATCAACAGTGAGCTTGATATCTTGACTGATCACAGCTCATAGTGGCCCAGAAAATCCCTGCTCTGCCCAAACTCTCCAAATGACTTGGGGCAGGGGAGATATGTCTCAACCTTGGGTCAAGGGGACCACAACAGAATTACAGGCGACAACTGAACCAGAGGAAGGTGAACTGGGGTCAGGAGCAAGGACTGGGCTGGGGTTCAACAGGGCTGGAGTGTGCGATTGGGGTAAATGACCTACCAGCCCAAAGGGTCTGGTCTGTTATTGAGGTGGGCACAGCACTGTTTATATTCCCTGATGCAGGAACAAAAACAAAACAGGAGACCTGAGTAGGGACAACAGGTTGTGGGGAGCATGGGACTTGGAGGCGTGGAAAGCACACTGGGGTCATGCCTTGGGAAAACAAATAATCAAGCAAAAACACAGGGACAGAGTAAAACAGCTTTCATGCATACAGCTGGAATTTAGCTCAGCATCACCATACGGGTTGAACGTCAGAGCGCTGACTAAAGATCCCGACATCCTTTAGTAAACTTCCCAGGTAGATAGTACAACCCCTCCCATTTGACAGAACTGGACCTGAGATACAACTACAACCTGCATACTGGCTTCAGGTCTAATCTTTTATTCTTTATTCAGATTGCTGGACTGCAGGTTGTCCGACATCAGCTGTGCTTCACTGGTATCAGCTCTGAGGTCCAACCCCTCCAACCTGAAAGAACTGGACCTGAGCCAGAACAACATCTCTGACTGTCTGATGGAGGAGCTGAGCAGCTTACTGCAGAGTCCACTTTGTGGACTGAAGACTTTGAGGTCAGACTCCATGTCTTAGTGGTTAGTTAAGATGAAGATTATATGAAAGTTGTGCTGGTCTTTATGGTAAACTCTTCAGCTCACATATTTAATTCTTTATTCAGATTGATGGACTGCAGATTGTCAGAGATCAGCTGTGCTTCTTTGGTGTCAGCTCTGAATTCAAACCCCTACCATCTGACAGAACTGGACCTGAGCCAGAACAATATCTCTGACTGTGTGATGAAGGAGCTGAGCAGCTTTCTGCAGAGTCCACTCTGTAGACTGAAGACTCTGAGGTCAGACTCTATGTTATAGTTATTAGTTCAGATGAAGATGATGATGTGAAAGTTGTGCTGCTCTTCATGGCTAAATGTGTTTTCCTCTAGAGTGGTTTAGTATATGAAATACTGATTTGCTGAATAAGAAGCAAACACTGTGAATGTATCAGACATAAACAGATCTCCACTCATTGGCTGATGCCTCTAGTGGTCCGGAGTTAGTGAATGTTTGTGTGTGAAACAGTAACAACAATTTGGAGCAGCCCAACTCCCAAAGCTGATACTAACAAACTCCCTCCAACACTGCTGGAAATGTACAATCGTTGATGTCAGTAGAAAAAAGCAAACCGCAATTAGAAAAACAATATCATACCAACAGTAGAACATGGTGGTGGTAGTTTGGTGGTCTGGGGCTTTTTTGCTATTTCAAGACTTGGAAGACTTCCTGTGAGACATGGAATCATGGTTTCATATTCCTACTTGTAGATCTGTAGTCCTATTTGTATATCTACAAAAATGTTGAACACTAAATTCATCTCTCAAACACGTATGTCTGAGAAATTGAGCATGTTAGAACTGTTTCCGTGTGAGACTGAATGTAAAAGCTGTGGTGCAAATAATTGTGAATAAAATCCTTTTTATGACTATGAAGTCTTAACTGCTGTGGAAGCAAATTCAAGTTTGAGTACAAGTGGAAAAATGCTTAAATTACGTCACAAATGGGACTAAAGGAACCCTTATTAACTTCAACTCACATCTTTTATTCTTTTTTAGGTTGGAGGGCTGCAGGTTGTCACAGATCAGCTGTGCTTCTCTGATCTCAGCTGTGATGTCCAACCCCTCCCATCTGACAGAACTGGACCTGCGTTCCAACAGACTGAAGGATTCAGATGTTCAACAGCTGTTGGATCTTCAGCAGCGTCCACACAACAAACTGCAGACTCTGAGGTCAGTAGGGAGCTGGAGGTCCATACTGACCTAAACCCAGTTGGTACCAGAGCAAAGATCCAGTTTCCTGTGAACATGCAGCCTTCTCAGTGTGAAGCTGTGAGAGCAGAATGATATCAGGCTTTTTCAGCAGAGTCGGCAGAATGACACAGTTTGCCAATCAGATCAACAGCTTGTTGTGTTTGTGGTGCTTAAAGCTTCTCCAGGTGTGTGAGCTTCCAGCTCCAACATGTGAACATGAGAGCTGACAGGAAGCTGCTCTGAACAGGACTGAATTCCCTGCTGCTCTTTTTGATGGATGCTGCTCCCTGCTGACAGCTGAGGAACAAACTTGTTTATCTGCTCTGGTTCTGCTTCTCTCTGCAGATGGTGGTGGTGATGAAGAGGAGGAAGAGAGCTGAGAGTAAGATCTGTGTCCTGGTGATTCACAGAGGATGAAGCAGCAGCAGCTTGTGTGCTGAGAGACTCTGATGATGATGATGATGATGATGATGATGATGATGATGATGATGATG